CCCACCCACCCACCCGCCCACCATGTACCCACCCACACAGAGAAAAACGACGTCACATACACACTCAATAAACGAGTCAGCCAGCCAATTGACAAACCAATCCATCAAGCAGAGGTTGACGTCAATGGCAAGGACAAGTCCGAGAAGTTGTGCGCTAATTGTTCCTCTTGGAAAAGGAGGTGGTAAAACTTGTAGCATAGGTGATTCAACTTTCAACAGATCGATATGTGACAGTCACGAAAGATAACACATGCACATCACAAATGTAATCACAAGGGTTTTTTTTTTTTTTTTTTTTTTTTTATAGTAAAGAAAAGCCCTTGTGCAAAGCCTCTATTCCAGTGGTGGTAAGAGAACCAACCCACAAGCCAAGCAACGGAGGGAGGCAAAACTCTACTGCCTGCACGGGAATAGAACGCATGGTCATTATCACTGCATCTAGACTGAAAGCTGGTCCAAATACAGCCATAATGACCAGAAGTTGTATTCGGGTGAAGATGGTTTACAGTTCTAACGCACTTGAGAATTTCAATGCTCTGCTGAACCAAAGAAGTCAATTCTTACCATTCTTCTTCTTCTTCTTCTTCTTCTTCTTCTTCTTCTTCTTCTTCTCCTCCTCCTTCTTCGTCTTCTTCTTCTTTGACTTACAAAAAAGTTCTGACGCAAAGATAATGACTTGTCTTTCTGTCAAAGTTTTAACCATTTTTTAATTTTAACCATGGGTTAAGCAGAATCATGCACATCAATGCCCAGGAATCAGTGATTATCAGATTCTGCTCAATGGGAAGGGCAGCTGAAAGTCAGGCCCGCAGGGTCATTACGGCCTGGCACCAGTCTGGTCCGGTAGGCTGGACCAGATCTGAGGCTGGTCCAGCCTGCCTGACCAGGTTGCAAAAGTGGACAGGTGGCCTGTCTGGTCTTCTTCGTTGGAAAGCCTGACCAACAGGCCTTGTGCGGCACTCAGTAGGCTCACGACCCAGCCCATCTCTCACTTTCTTCTTCTTCTTCTTCTTCTTCTTCTTCTTCTTCTTCTTCTTCTGAATCTGAATCTCTTCTCCTTTTTTTTTTTTTTTTTTTTTTCTTTGTCTGAGAAAACAACCCCGGGATCAGCTTGAGGCGCTGGTAGGAGCAGACGGCTCAAGCTTTCTTGGAGGAGGCTCCATCTATTGGTGGGGAGCTGCACCTGCTGGAAAACGGGCCCAGCATGCCTTTACACATTTGTACATTAAAAAACAGGGACAGGTTGAAACTTGAAACATGTGGGGGGATCCCCTTGTCAATCAGACGGCAGACCACCATTAATATTCAATGAGACACTAGCTACTCACTGTATGTTGGTCAATGTCGAGGGTGGCCACATTCGTTCTCCTCCATTCATCCTCCTCCCTTTCGAATCTAATCCCTAGCCCTTAAACCCTAAACCCTTGAAACATGATTGCTTCGGCGCAGAACCCTCACATTTTATAGAGTGTGGCAGGCGCAACTTTGATTGTACATATCAGCTCATACCATCCTTGCTTATATCCCGCCTCCCTGTTTAGTAGTCTGACCCCGAAGCCCTTGAGAAGCAGAACTCTGAACCCTGTGCTCCCACAGACTTCATTGCGGTGAATCTGAGACGTTGTCTATACACCTTCAGCATGTACCATCCCTGCTTATATCCCGCCTCCCTCTTTAGTAGTCTAACCCCCTAAGCCCTTGAGAAGCAGAGCAGTGAACCCTGTGCGCCCACAGACTTCATTGCGGTGAATCTGAGACTTGCCCATCCCTTCTATACCTTCAGCACGTACCATCACTGCTTATATCCCGCCTCCCTCTTTAGAAGTCCGAACCCCTAAGCCCTTGAGAAGCAGAACGCTGAACCCTGTGCGCCCACATACCTCATTGCGGCGAATCTGAGACGTTGCCCATCCATTCTATACACTTTTTGTGCTGATGGGGCAGAACCATTGGTTTGTGAGTCGCCTGTGTCTGCAGAGTGTTCTGATAGTCCTTTGAAAATGCTTGGACTTATGTATGCTTCGATTGTCTCTTTGATACTGTACGTGGCTGCCCTCCGCAGTCGTCATTGGTTGTTGCTGAGCAAGTCGACAGTCCACAGTCCCCGGACTTGTGGCTGCTCCCCCTTCCGTTGCTGCCGCCCTTAGCGCGCCATTGTTCCCTTCACATATTTTTCCATCCTGTCTGCGGGTTGGGCGTGAGGCTCTATGGGGCAGGCATGGGGCTGGGAGGTTGGCAGTTCAGGGGGGGAACAGTGAGTGAGAAGGGGGGGTTGCTAACTTGCTACAAGGATGAAGTTAGTCGGAAGATATGGGACTTGATAATCAGTAAAGGGCTTTCGTTGCCACGTACCCTCTGAGTTTCTCCATGGTCTCCACAGAATGTCCAGACTCGCATCCAGTTCACTGAACTTCCTATGGGGATCCTGCCAAATTTGAATGTAAGAGTCGTGGATGTCCTGTTTGGCCTGAGATCCGTTCTCATTGCGTATTCGTTTGTCATATTTTTCCACGCTTCCCAGGTGCGGGATCTGATCACCTCCTCTATTGCATGCTGGGCTTGCTGCAGCCCGAACTGATGGTCTTTCCTTTCAAAGGAACACCTTGCTCGCCAAGCCAGCATTAGGATGTGCAGCCGTGTGTATGAGAATAGGTTAGCTGCAAAGGGAGACCAGCGGGCTAGCAAGTGTCGATTCTTACCGAGCAAAAGGAGGCCCAGATCCCATGGGATGTCAAATGTTGTCAACGAGTGAAAGGCGGCGTCCCACCATCGCCACAGTTGGGCAACCATCGGGCACGCTAGGAGACAGTGTTTGAGCGTTGCTCTGGTGGGCGGGGACGCTCTGTGGCAATAAGAGCAAATGGGGGACAACTGGCCTTTCTCTGATTCAGAACCTCTTCTTATACACGGGTACACAAGTGAACAGTCGAACATGCATGAACGCTCCCCATGTGTTTGTGTGTGTGAACGCTCCCCATGTGTGCGTGTGCATGTGCGTGGAGAGAGAGAGAGAGAGAGAGAGAGAGAGAGAGAGAGAGAGAGAGAGAGAGAGAGAGAGAGAGA